AATTCTCCTCATAGCTCAGACCAACTCATGGAGATTGTGAAGAGTCTCATGTAGTCTCTTCAGAAGACTCCAGCAGCAGAAATACTTGCCGTTCTGTGTAATTTTTGTTCCTAAACAATTTACTGCTACATAAGTTTGTTTTTCTTCATCTATATTGCCCACACTCTTTGTTTGCAATTCTCATGCAGACAAAAAAGCTCCCCTCACAATCAATGGAGCAAAATTTAGACTAGAAGTGAGCCATATGCTTATACCTAGATATCCTCTTCAATGCATTAATGCTGAGTACTCTAAGCTAAATCTGCTGCTATTGTTTCATATGCTTCATTCCCCTATCCTCAAAGTTGACAACAAAAATTTGAAAATTAATTTCACACTAGATAAAACTTTCCTATGAGCAAATATAGTTTGGACTTAATAAGAAGAGAACAACTTTTCCATGTGCTGCTCTGGGTCCCATTAAACACTGGAAAGCTATGTGTAATCAGTAGCAGTGAGAATTCAGTTTATACAAAATAGAAAAATCATGAAAATTAAATTTTTATTTTCTTTCTCAAATATTACTAAATATTGCCAAATATTTCATTATTAAATGGTGAATAGCAACTAAAATTTTGGGAATACAGAATATTATCATTATTATGGAAATGTCAGTCACTGTGAAAGTTACTACTGAACTATCTTAAAACTGAACTGAAACACCTTAGGATAAGCCTAGGATAAGACTTGAATATGATTAAATTAAAAGTGTTTTAAGAATTAAAAGATCAGTCATTTAATAAATTTGATTATGAAGTCACCATGCTACTAGAAAGCTGCAACCTAGTTGCCATTACAGAAATTTGGTGGGATAAATCCCATGACTGGAATGCAGCTATTGATGGCTACAGGCTGATCAGAAGGGACAGAAGATGAAGGAGGGGAGAAGGGGCTGCTCTCTATGCCAAGAAATGGATAGATTGTGAAGAGTTGTCTCTGAAGAATAGCCACGAGCAGGTTGAAAGCTTATGGGTAAGAATTAGAGACTGAGACAACAAAGGGAACCTTGTGGTTGGTGTCTACTACAGGCTGCCTGATCAAGGGGAGCCTATTGATGAAGCCTTTTTACTCCAGCTATGGCAGGCATTGCACTCATAGGTCCTCATCCTGCTGGGGGATTTCAACTACCTCAACATCTGCTGGAGAAGTAGCACAGTGAGCTGTAGGCAACCCAAGAGACTCCTGGAGTGCATTGAGGATGACTTCTTAAGCCAGATAATAGACAGCCCTAGCAGAGGGGATGTGATACTGGACCTAATGGCCACCAACACATGAGCTAATCACTGACATCAAGATCAGAGGCAGTTTGGGCTGCAGTGATCATGCACTGGTGGAGTTTGCAGTCCTGAGGGATATGGGACAGGTGAAGAGTGAAGTCAGGACCCTAAATTTTAGGAAAGCAAACTTTCAGCTGTTCAAGGAGTTAAGGCCTGATGGTCAAACTAAAGGACAAAAGGAAATGCACAGGTAGTGGAAGCAGGGACAGGTGAAGAGTGAAGTCAGGACCCTAAATTTTAGGAAAGCAAACTTTCAGCTGTTCAAGGAGTTAAGGCCTGATGGTCAAACTAAAGGACAAAAGGAAATGCACAGGTAGTGGAAGCAGGGACAGGTATCTTGGGAAGAGTATAGGGAGGATACCCAGTTGTGTAGGGAAGGTGTCAGGAAGTTGAAGGTGCAGCTAGAGCTGAACTTGGCAAGGAACACAGAGAATAATAAGGAGGGCTTCTATAGGTACATCAGCCAGAAAAGGAAGGTCAAAGAAAGCGTAACACCCCTGATAAACACAACTGTCAAACTGGTAACAAAAGATAAGGAGAAGACTGAGGTACTCAACTGTTTTACCTTTCTTCACTGGCAACCTCTCTTCCCACACCTCTTGAGTGGATGGACAGCAAGACAGGGACTGGGGAAGCAAAGTCCCTCTCACTGTAAGAGATCAGGTTTGTGACCACCTGAGGAACCTGAACATATATAAGTCTATGGGACCTGACAAGATGCATCCCAGAGTCCTGAGGGAATTGACTGAGGTAGTTGCCCAGCCACAATCCATGATATTTGAAAAGTCATGGCAGTCAGGTGAAGATTTTGGCGACTGGAAAAAGGGAAACATTGCACTCATTTTTAAAAAGAGTAGAAAGAAGAACTTTGGGAACTACCAACCTGTCAGCCTCACCTCTGTGCCTGAGAAGATCATGGAACAGATCCTCCTAGGAGCTATGCTAACGCATATGGAGGACAGGGAGGTGATTCGAGACAGTCAGCATGGCTTCATCAAGAGCAAGTCTTGCCAACCAACCTAGTGGCCTCCTATTGATAGAGTGACTATATCCATAGACAAAGGAGCAGCTACAAACATCATCTACCTGGACTTCTGTAAGGCCTTTAACACGGTCCCCCACAACATCCTTCTCTCTAAATTGGAGGGATATGGATTTGATGGATAGACTGTTTGGTGGATGAGGAATTGGTTGCATGGTCACATTCAGAGGGTAGTGGTCAATGGCCCAATGCCCAGATGGAGACCAGTGAGGAGTGGTGTCCCTCAGGGGTCTGTATTGGGACCAGTACTGTTTAGTATCTTCAACAATGACATAGTGAGTTAGAGTGTACCCTCAGCAAGTTTGCAGATGACACCAAGCTGAGTGGTGCAGTTGACACATCTGAGTGACATGATGTCACCCAGAGGGACCTGGAGAAGCTCAAGAAGTGGGCCTGTGTAGACTTCATGAGGTTCAACAAAGCCAAGTGCAAGGTCCAGCACATGGGTCAGGGCAAACCCGAGCACAAATATAGGCTGGGTAGAAAATGGATGGAGGACAGCCTTGCAGAGAATGACTTAAAGGTACTGGTGGATGCATAGCTGGACATGAGCTGGCAATGTATGCTTGCAGCCCAAAAAGCCAAACGTATCCCGGACTGCATAAAAAGAAGTGTGGCCAGCAGGTCGAGGGAGGTGACTGTGCTCCTCTACTTCATTCTGGTGAGACCCCACCTGGAGTGCTGTGTCCAGCTCTGGAGTCGTCAGTACAGAAAAGACATGGACATGTTGGAGTGGGTCCAGTGGAGGGTCACAAAGATTATCAGAGAGATGGAGCACCTTTCCTACAAAGAGAGGCTGAGAGACTTGGATTGTTCAGCCTGGAGATGGAGCAACTTTCACTAGTTTAAGGGGGATTATAATAAAGACGGGGACAGACATTTTAATAGGGCCTGTAGCAACAGGGCAAGGGGTAATGTTTTTAAACTAGAAGAGGGTAGATTCAGACTAGATATAAGGAAGTCATTTTTTACAATGAAGGTGGTGACATGTTGCACAGAGAAGCAGTAGACGCCCCATCCCTGGAAACATTCAAGCTCAAGTTGGATGGAGCTCTGAGCAACCTGATCTAGTTGAAGATGTCCCAGCTCATTGCAGGAGAGTTGGACTGGATGACCTTTAAATGTCTCTTCCAACCCAAACTATTCTATCGTTCTATGAGGTGACTTAAGAATTTGAGAGAGAAGGACTGCAGGAAACAAAGCATCTTTTATCAAACAAACTTTTAAGCAAGTAAGTCCTCCCACAGTTTTTCTGTTTTTGCTGTATAATTCAAGGAGGTCTTATTTGGCCTCCATCCGTTCTCCCCAACTCCTACCAACTAACCTAATAAATGACATCCTCTGCCTATAAACCCTGTATCATTTAACAGACAGGTTTTATTTTAAAGGTAATCTTAAATCATGACATTTATTATGCTTGCTTTTTCAAGATATAATATTTTTATTCTTATATTACTAATTTCTTCTTTTCCTCTTTCTAATGGAACTTGAAAGCCATAGTCTCATAGGTATTTTTAAATTCTTTAGCTTACATTAAAAACTGAAGTTAGCGTTGACAGGAAAAATTCAAAGATAAAAACCATACTTTTTATGTAATAGAAATTGTATCAACCTCCACCAGATAAATTGTAGACTATTAAAGGAAAAGCAAGCTCTAACCTCATTCATAGTGAGACCAGGAAGAAATTGCAGCCATTATTTATTCCTTGGAGTATCCCAGATAAAATCTATCAGCAACTTCCTTAAAAGCAACTTTGTGAGTCTTGGAATGCCCAGGCTCTTAAATCACTAATAAGAACAAATCTTTTTAGGTGAGTCTAAACTGCAGTCTGGAACTCAAACACAGGTCTGACATTTTCCAAAGTCTGAATGCTCAGAACTGTTTTGTGGCATCGTGTTCTACTATAGTCCCTATTTAGTAGTTGATCCACATTTTCCTTCTTTCCTGTCTTTTTTTTTTTCCTTTTAATTGTTTTCCTACTGTACATTTCCTTAGCTTTTCTAAAGGTGTTAGTAGTCCAAACATATTTTCGTCAACTTAGAAAAATACATAGGAGCTCTAAAGATACACACTACCACAGAGAAATAAATAAGAAATTAAGTTATTAGCCATATATATTCATTTTTCTTAAGCATGTGTATTATTTTTTCTTTTATACTGCAGTGTATACTGGGATTTATTTAAATAAACCACATCCAGGGTTGAGGACAAGAGAATTTTCTGTACAGATGATTTTGCATCTGTTGTAATATCAATTCCAAGACCTAGAAAAAAGATACAGCTAACAGTCTTGAATTTATTATCAGAACTGCTCTTCTGATGCATGTTATTGATCCATTTGGGTAAAAAAAAAAAAAAAAAAAAAGCCCCAAAATACTACTAATTTTCACAAGGCTCCTTGCAGAAATCTTAGAATCTGCTTCCAGGCATAAAATTTGATAGATCAAAATCACATGCCGTGTCCAGAGTGAGCTAAGCGCAAAGGTGAACACACTGAATGGCAACTGAGAGAGTCCAGATGTCAATATTTCCAAATACTATACAAAACTCTTAATCTGTACCAATAGCCTTCTTTAGTTTTTAGGCTTCCCTGAATGGATTTAGTGCTTCAGCAGAACACTGAAACATTTAAGAAACTTACTGCAATGGACTTCATCACTCCAATCGTCACAGTCGTTGTAGCCATTACACTGCAGTTTCCCTGGGATGCAGATCCCACTGGCACACAAGAAACTCTCCTCTCCACCACACAGTGCTGGAAAAGACAAGAAAATAAGGAACGGATGTTAAACTTTTCAGGGCAAGAAGAAATAAGCAGAACTGAAAGACAGTTAGAACAATAAGTCTTAATCAATGCACTTAAGCAACAGACCCCAAATTAATCAAATTCAAGGAAATGCAAACCGGCATTTTCATCTAACTATTGTTAATTCAAAAATAGGTATCCAGGCTGAGTTAATTGGTGAGATTCAATCTACCATTATGTCTAAAAAGCGGTGGTACAGAGTAACATTTAAAAACTGACCTTAGGGTGCGATTGAACAAACTCTTATTTTTTTTCCATTAAATAGATGCATCAGATTAAGTATTCAACTAAAGTTATAATAGATGGATCTTCCCAGCCTCGGTGTTCAGGAAAAAGATTATGAAGTTGAGACTTAACAGTGTCATAGCAAAGACACATTTCCAGAGGGGAAGGATTCCTCATTCATGTAACTCCCTGAACACTAGAAGACAGTCATCATTGCTAATCGATATATACGGCATTGAGATACATAAGGAGACAAAAAATTCCCTAGAGCTTTAGGTATCCCACCAGAGATACCTTCCAGGGCCATTATGTTCAGAGAGAGGGAATTCATAACACCTTCCCATTCAAGTCCTTCAAGGCACTTAAAATATAGAGATGCAGATCCCCATTTATTTGTTTACACATTGGTCCACACAATAAAGACCAAACTTCCAAGCCTCTGCTTTAAAAAACACTGGCTGAGAAAAATCCCTGTAAAGCATATAGATGGGGAAAGATATCAAATGAAAATTACATGGAGATACCAAGTAAAGATGTCAAAAATTCATTACAGAACCTGGGGGGGTTTGTTTGTGTTTTTTTGTATTGTTTTGTTTTGTTTCTTTTAATTCAAAAGCCACCGTTAACAGTCAGGCTACTCAACAAAGCTAAACAAAACAGAAAGTTTCACCTTCATTAAAAGATCAGCAAAAAAACCTCGATAACTTTAAGTGTACACATCTGAAATGAAAAATAACATTCAGAGATGAAGGAAAAAGTCCTGTCATTTTGCCAGTGTAAAGTTGTTAAATGTATCCATGTGTGAGAACAGCAAGTTCAAACAATAAAATCTCATGAAAGTTCAAAATTCAACTCACAGAAATTCCGTTGTAATTCAAACCTTCTATCCAAGTTTGCCAAGAACAACAAAGATCTCTAATTGTAACTTTCAAACTTCACTAGAATACAAATCACAGGTATGAAATAACATCAGTTTCACCAGCAGCAGCTATAGAATCTCTTCATCCACTAGTCATTTTGTACCTGATCACAACATAGCTCCATATTTCTCATTTTAAAATGCCTAAATTTGTATTTTTTCTTATTCCTATAGCAGAACCTGGTTCCTATTTCTTCTCCCTTTGTTCTCTGAACCTGATGCTTAACAAAGTCTGGATAGTGTATTTATAATCTACATTTCAAAAGCAAGAAAATGCACATTGATTATTCTCATCATAATTTTGTATTTTTCATAACATGTCTACCAACAAGTATATCCATGCAGAATATAATTTAAAATTAAATTAAGGAAAAATAGCCAAATAGCTAATGATATAATTTTTAGTAGCATGAAATTTTATGACCCCAGTTTGGCACTGCAGTAAACGATAGCACAGAGGTAACATACTACATAAATTTCCTATAAAGCCATTAATATATCAAGGACTACGATGATGTTTTTGTCAACATTTTATTCAGTGATGCACTCAGTAGAATTCCTACTATAAGGAATTATCCTTAACAGTGAAATATTAACCACAATAATGTGTTGATTAAGCACATTCTTGGGCAAAACAAAAATTTACCTTAAGATGAATCCTAAACTCACACACTGCTAAGGTCCCATTTAAACTCCTCTTTCTGGAGCCAACATTTCACTTACAAAAAGAGGGAAAGTTCTTTTTAATATTTTCCAACAAAACAGTCTGCTGTGAAGTGACTCTGAGCATACAAGTAATCTCATTTTATACGTCTTCAGAAGAATAGAAATATAAAAATAAAACAAAATGGAAAGCAAAGTGGTACTGATGAAATCTGGCAGCATTTCACAAAGCACACAGAGAGAATTTAAGGATATAAAAGATGAAAGGTAGAAAGAAATGAGAAATATGAACTAATAAATATTGACTCTCCATAACTCTACACCAATTTTTATCTGCTTTATTTTGTTGTTAAGACATACTGTTTTGTAGAATTTCAAGAATTCATTATTTAGTGATGTATCTTTTGATTTTAATAAGTGTATCATAAAAGAAAACTTGATGGATAATTTTTCTTAAAATCTCAAACACCTGGCTTTTATCTTAGGGTGCTTTAGACTGCAGGGCAGCAAGTGTTATGCCTATTTTTTTTTTCCACATGTGAAAAGCTGAAAGACAGGAGGCTCAAGTGTTTTTTCAATGACAAACAAGGAATCAGGTGAACAATTCAAAGTGGTTTATAGAAGCATATTCCTAAAATTCTAAACCTAAATTAGACAAAAAAAAAAAAAAAAAGGTTATCTCCTTGCTCTGACAAAGTAAGCTTCTTACTTCTTGAAGCATGCCAGTCTTCACAATGGTCTCTTATTAGGAATTTTGGCTTTTGGTGGAAGACCAGTATTCTTCAGCTCTGCTGTTGCCTTCGTTATGGCAAGAGACATTTTATCAGTCTTGGTTTTACTCTAATCCCTTTCTTCTCACTCTCTTGAAGCACTTCCAGTGATAACTAAGACCCTTTCTACATCTAGGCCTGAGATCTCTATGGTTTCGTACTATTCCTCAGTTGTGCTGGTTTTCTTTTCACTGCTATCCTTAATTTGCAGCTACCAGGTACAGCCTAGAATACAGTTTTCTGCCATTCTTTCACGCTCTTGAATCCACCAGGACAACCCACCCATAGTGACTGTCAGAGCCTGTGAATGACCAACCTCACCTGGGACTGCCCATGGGCTCAAGCCTCACCTGAGCACTGCTGTAGGTGCAGCCTTATATCCAGCTCCATCTCCTGTATGGATTCATCATATATACACCGTAGCTTGTCTGCAGCCCTAACTTTGGCCCTGGTTCCTTGACTTGGAGCCACATTGGAGCCCTGTCACCAGTCCTGTCTCTGGTCCCACTTCCTGACTGGGGTCCCTGACTGAACCCTGGACCTTGTTCATCACTTTGTCCTGTCTGGGGCCAGCTCTGCGTGCTGCATTCAGGCTCTGTACCCCAGCACAGCCTGACCTCAGGACCCAGCTTGCCTGCCTGGAGGGAGCAGCCCTGCTCCTGCTGCTCCCTGATGGTGACCTCAGCTCCTTGGCTGTTGGGTTGCAGCAGGCGGATTGCTCAGCCTGGTTCCTCGTGGTGCTTTATTTCTGTTAGTCTGATGCTACCTGGCAGCGAAAGACATATCTCAAGTTCCAACAGCTGTTTGATGCCTCTGGCCAGCTATATTAGAAAAATAATGGGATATTGACAGGCAGGTATTCCTTGTCCTGTTCCCCCTTACTCTTTCAGTTATCCCAGATGCCACCTCTGCCTTTCCACAACTTCACAGTACACAGGGAATACAAGACATCTTTCAACGCAGAAGTAGTGCGTCCATTGTCCCTGCACAGTGTGTTCGGTATGCCACCATTTGCAAAGTGAATATTCACTTTCTTTAAAACTATGTTTTCCAGAGCACCTGCCAAATAACCCAACTCCTAGATGTTAGAATATTAGTAACTGTTATTTTCCCTTGATTAAAAGTGAACAGTTGTGTTTTGACATCTAGAAAGGCTCTTAGATTTTCAGAAGGGCACAAAATCGCCTTCTGTTGTCACTGTATTATGATTATCACAGTTGCAATGTATTATCTATCTCATGGTAATTGCTCTTAAATCTGATGGAAATACCACTGTCTCATTTTAAGGAAAATCCCACATGCAAATACAGCTAATATTCCCTTACACAATACAAGTCTCTATCATCCTTTTCCCTAAAATTCTATATTTTCTATTTTCTGATTTATAAAACATCCCCTGTTACTTTGTGGTTGAGGAGCAGACAGAATATTTATTTGAAAAACTCATTACTTTCTCTAGTAAAATTGAATTTCATGCCTTCTCTTATTAAATACCATTACCATGTCTTATAAATACATGACTTGATTTTTAATAGTAAAAAAAATCAGCTATTCACAAAAAACCCAATCGTGTTGTTATTCATTAAAGATTAGCCAATTTATAAAAGACTATGAAGCAATGCCATTAAAAAAGCATAGGCAAGCAAGATGTTCTTAAGGAATAAGGAATCTTTTATGTGTTCCAGAGATAAAAGTTCTCTCCCCAGCTCTGCTGCAAAATTTTTGCATCATCTTGGACAATTCAGTCAGTCTGTGCCTTAGCTCTATACATATAAAAAGATGAAAAAACTTTTCTGTTTTCTTGGGGAGAAATTTTCTCTTTGAGGAGAAAAGTTATTAGCCTTGGTACTACAAAGTTAATGTGGCAGTACTCTTATGAACTTATTTTCGTGCTAATGAATTGATATTCAAGATTTCCCACAGGGATTGAATTATATTTCCATTTGGGGAAATATCAGAACAGCTGTCGGAGAAACCTGAATACAAGAAAGTCAAGGAGAAAACCTGAAAAATACATCTAAAGGAAACAATACAATTTTTGAGATAGAACAAAGCCATTTAAAACTGTAATCAGTAAATCACCCACTTTAAAAGACCTCAACGGGCAGTCATGAAAAGACTATTACACCTGTTAAATCTGCCCTTGGGACTACAGAAAGAGACTTTAACGTGCCTACAAAAAATATAGTAGTTTCTGCTCACTATCAGCCTTTCTGTATGGCAATGTTATATTCTTCACAATTTGCCCAACCACTAAGTGCACAGTGGATGCTGTGATGTATCACTGAGCACCAACCGTGCTTAAATATGCAGCGTATGTCTTTCCAAAAATGACAAATAGCTCCAGCTTACAGTGACTGCAAGTGCAAATT